TTTTTTTTAATGATTGTTTTAGAATGGGTTTAACACTTCATCAACACGGCCATAGTCACGGTGGCGGCCATGGTCATAGTCATGGTGGCGACCATGGTCATAGTCATGGTGGCGGAAAACACCAAGGTGATGACAAAAATATAAATGTTCGAGCAGCATATATCCATGTTCTAGGCGATTTCATTCAAAGCACGGGTGTCCTCGTAGCGGCCTTGATTATTTATTTCAAGGTAACTGATGAAATTATATCTTGTTTTTTTATCTTATTGCTGTAATGAGTAATGATTGTTTTGTGTTACAGCCTACTTGGAGTATTGTAGACCCCATCTGCACATTTTTGTTTGCTATTCTAGTCCTGTTCACAACGGTGGCCATCATTAAAGATGTAATGAATGTTCTTATGGAAGGAATACCGAAGGGTTTCGAGTACTCAAGTGTCGAGAGTACATTCATGGGAATCGAAGGGGTCGTCAAAGTGCATAATTTGAGAATTTGGGCATTGTCACTCGATAAAACGGCCCTTTCCGCGCATCTTGCTATCAGTAATTTTTTTAAAATATTATTCTATATTTTCTCACTATCAAATATTATAAAAATTCGCTAGGAAATTCCATTGATTTTTACATACTTTCTATTACAAACCGATGACGGTGGCCGAATTGGTTAAATCGCTTGGCCGGACGACGAAACTCGTAGGGCGCGGGGTCAGATCCTTAGGCTTAGGGCATTGGAATTTTTAGTCTTCCACAATCTGTCGAACAAGGGTCTAGACACCAAGAATCATCAAGAAATATGAAGCTTGGTTGACGGACGCCGTGCCGGTCGTGCCGGCCGTCCCATGGTTTTCCATGGTTGTCCTTGGTCACCAGGAGAGTCTGTACCTGGCATACAACTCCTGGGGTAAATGCGACACGATTGCGAAGGAAGTCGGCCCAACAGGCTGTTGCGCTGTAAGTTGTGGGTAAGAGCCACGGGTTAAGCAAAGTCACCCATGACCTGTCCGCTACTTAAAAATTAATAGCTCCTCCCTTAATTAATATTAAGGGATGAAACCCAGGGTGTTTGATGGTTGATTCTCATTATTTTTAATGAGAAGATCAACTGACCATTTCGTTATTCGGAAAAAAATTTAGCTTTAACTTACAAAATTTAAAATTTAACTTTAATTTACATCAAAGTTTTTTTGTGGCCCTGAAAAGGACAGATTTTTTACTGCTCAGAGCTACACAAGCTCTTCCTTCCTCTGCCCTTGGGTATTACCCCTTCATCTACCTCCACGTGGTGCAAATGCCAGTCTACCCTCTGCTCTCAGGCGATTAGGCACTCCAATAAACCCACGATGATCTGGTTAGCCACGATGATTGGAAAAATCGCAAGTGTAATTCTCTGTGAAACGCCCGTTGTCCCCGCACAACCCATAATAAATGTGGATATCTGCGTATTCAGGTTAAAAAACTCCATCGCGGAATGTAAAGAAGTTTGACCTGTCGAGAATCACGCCACAGACTGAAGGACAAGGTTTTCCTGGATATCAATCACGACGGAAAGTTAGAGACATGTGTGGGGAAACAAGAAAAGACTATTCATAGCGTCTGTGTCTGTTGTTTTCGATGAGACAGTACACTCATCAAAAAGTCATTAATGTTTTTCGCCGCGCCGTCGTTTTCGCCGCGATTTTTATTAAGAAAAGAATAAGATAATAATAATAACCCGTCAGCAAGCACGCTAATCTCCCAGTATTATTTATGCGCGCCGTGGGAGAAAATATCACACGATACTTCTCCCGCACTAGTAAGACAAAGACACCAAGACACTTCTCCTCTACTATGAAGCCAAGCGCTTGC